TTGTCACAAGCGAAGATGCCAACGATGACGTATTATTGACACTTGATGTAGATTCTTCTTGTTTACTGTTTCCCATTTTGACACAAATATTATTTAGTAGCTGACGACACAAATCAAGATTATTTCCTTTCTGGTGTGGAAGATCAGACTAAGCTGCAACCACAGAGCATACTCAGACAGAACCTTGACTCAGTTACCAAGATAGATCTTTTCTGATGTGGAAGATCAGACTATGCTGCAACCACAGAGCATACTTAGACAGTACCTTGGCTCTGATACCAATTGTTGCGGAAGCCAAATGTATATAGTGTGAATGAGTCACAACTACTATACCAAAAATTATGACAACCACTAAATAATAAATAAGACAATGAGACAACAATAAAAGAACACCAGAATTTACGAAGTTCGGCCAATTTTGCCTACTTCCTCGGACACAATCAATATTTTATTTCACTCCAAAATTATAAGTGAAATAATACTAAAGAAAGAAGATACAAATGCCTTAAGAAGATAAAAAGGCAAATGAGAGGTGTACTTAAATCCTAAACATTAGGCCTCCTTTTATAGGGTGAAATTCCCATTCAAAATTGTCATCCACCGATGTGAGACTTTTGACAATTTTAACAAGTTATTGTAGTTTTGTGAAGTCCCACATATTTTGGACAGATAATTTTTAAAACTCAAAACTAAAAAAATAAATAATTACTCCAATTCCAAAAAATGGACCCCCACGTTTTCCTTAGTTTTTTCTCTTCTTTTTTCCCTACTTCTTTGTTAGAAGCCCGTAGCTTAATTCTATATTACTTCATTAAATTAAATTAAAAGATAAGAAACCTCCATGATCCCACGAAATTGCAAAATCAAGCGCACTAAAAGGATAACAAATTAACACAGCAAAAACTGCCGCAGAGATCAGTTTATCTCTTCTCTTCTTTGGAGAAGTTTAAAACTCATCTAATTTCATCAAGATGACCAGATGGAAGAACCATAGATTGTTCTACTATTTCATTGATATGAACGGCAGGAAATTTGTACAGATGATGAATATATCGAAGAACCAACTTGCCGGTGACAAATTGCGAAAGAAGACGACCCAATTGATGGTTGTAGGTATTGTCAAATAGAAAACAAGTTCTTTGTCTTTGTTCTCCTTTTTACAGATTTGATTTATCTTCTATTTGAAATTTGAATTGAATTTTAGTATATCCAAATCAATTTGGTAGACGAAATTTGACACACGATTTTGATTTTTCGCCAAAAACATTGAGTTGAATGATGATAAGAAACTTTTCAATGATTCATTGTATAACAGACAAAAGGATAGAAGACGAATGAAGAAAGGTGTTAAGCAGAGATTCAGAGTATTTCTCCTCAAACATCACTTCACAATATATCCATTTGTGTGTGCTAGCAATGACTGTAATAAAAAGAAAGGCAAAATCTTCTGTTACATGTATTTTGATAAATGTTATTTCATTGATATAGGTTTATGTGATCGGGAAATTTTTACAAAGTACTCAGTGTTCTTTTATTGAATGAGGCTCTTCATCCGATTTTGTATGTTATCTGCCGTGTACAATATACTCAGTGAATTTTTTACCATTTAGTGATCATATATTTGTTCATTTCATCCTCACTTGAACCAGAAAGTTGATAAATGCAAGTTAGTGGCCTCAATAATTCTCCTGGACCAAGAAAAATTGGCCTTTGAATTGCTACTAGGTAGACATTGCATTTGCTTCAGAATAGTTACCCTGAGTAGTGGCTAAGCATTTACCTTTTTTCAGTACACATGCTCATATATTGCTTATTAGAGATTTATTTGGAGCATTCCTATGATGGTAATTCCATTGGCTGATTGTCACTCTATAATTTGCTACATAACTTATGCAAACTTTTATTGGTTTTTAACATTTCCATTTCTAACTTGTGGCATAGATGGTTATATTCAAGGGTTTAATATATTTATGACAAAAGGGATACATTTAAGTAATGATTAACTGGTACTTACAGTNTGTAAGAAATATATTATTTGTTTTAACTCCTATTAGTTTTGATCTTGAAACTTTATATGTCCTTCTTTTGTGCATCTTAATTGGCTCAATCATTCACCAAATTTACCTCAAAAAATGTGTTTGAAGTTTTTTTGGATATTTTACTGGGAAANTTAACTGGAAAAAGAAAAAAAATGAGATGTAGATTTACCTTTGTTGTCGTATATTTCTTATATATTTGTCGTATATTGATTTATCCATTTATGGCATTAAACAAAAATGGTTGTTTATTTTTATGAATTGGCAGGTTCAACTTCTTAGATAAATACAGGATCGATGTGGTACTCTAACATTGTGAATGCAAGAAGAGACTCATGTGAAGGTCGTGGTAACAAGGTAAGAGACAAAAAAAGATTCTTTAGAATCAACAGATTTTAACTCTATTTCATAAAATGCTTTGAATCTATGTTTTCCGCTATACAATACAAGTGTTTATACGCGAAATAAAATGAATTACCTTGGCAAGTACTACTTTGAAGATCTATGAAATAGGATTTCAAATATGACGCTTGAGCTTTCGTTCATAAAAGCTTGAAACATAAAACTCTCTCTATATTTTAATGTTGGATCGCTGCTGGAAATAAAACAATCCTTAAGATGCAGAAGATTGATCTAAATGCAAGTGAGGACAAAAGGAAGTATTTCATACAATCCCAATAATGACTGACACTAAGTTTAAGTACGCAACATCCTTTAAATTCAAACTCAACTTCATATATATCCCACAAACTCAAAAAAGACCAATATTGTACAAGTATAGAAAAACAAATGATATAAGATGCCTTCATTTCAAATCAGTGATTGATGTTTTATATGCGAAAAAAGAAAGATGGTTTGAATCGCTAAACTATAAAGTGGCGTGATAGTGCTATGGTAAATAAAGTTGTTCGGTCGAAAGATGTGACTGAACAACCATGAAAATAGGTGAGAAGGAGGTTGATGAGTAAATGGTTATGAAATAACCGAATAGGCAATGGTTTAGGTTGAATTGTATATGTACAGAGAAATTTGCAATTTTGGTGTCTCCTTATGAAGAAAAGGTTTGCGTTTATGTGTTTTCTGTATTAGTTGTGTGTGAATATGAACGTATAGTGAATTTGTGGAGACTTTGAGGTCGCTCTATGATGTTCAATGTAAGTTGCAAGTTCAAACAAGTAGAAGGAAAATTAGCATTGTAATGTTCCAAGTAGTTTTATTTAAAAAAATATTAGACTAATACATCACTATATATGTACGTGGGGATTTTGTTTTTACTAGATATTTTCACGGTCTCAAGGACATTCAAATGCACAAAGTTGTATTTGAGAAAGATGCACCTCGTGATGGAACTGCATTAGCTTTTTACGTTTCGCAACCAGATTAATATTCATTATTATTAGGTTCTTCCATTTTTGACTTGCTTTTCGCATATGTACTGTGAACATTATGGAAGTTTATTCATTATATTTCTACAAGTATATCACTTACCTTATATTTTAGACATGCAAAATCAATTTTTCACTTACATTCTTCCTTTCCATAATTTTTTCTATCATCAGCTCTCTTTGGATATCCTTTTTTCTCTTTGGTTGATTTTGTTGTTGTTGTTGTTGGAAAACAATTCTGGAAAAGCGTTTGTGTAGAGACAACAACAAATATTAGTCTTCACACATATTCTTATATTCTTAAGTGGCTTGATAAGAAAAGTAAGGTGATGATATTGTTTACAAACTTAAGTCTTAAATCTACGTCTTTCTTACTTATATACAAGTCCAGTTATTATGTATTGTGAATAACTTTTCGAGATACTATAAGTAACTTTGTGAGGCTTAATAACTATTTTTTATTTAGTTATCATATATGACTTTTTACTTTCAAGACTCTTTTGTTTAAAACTGATTTTGCTTTAACAATTTTTGTCTATCCCATTTATATCGAGTTATATTCTCTGTTTCGCGACAGAGACGCAGAAACATAAAAATTAAAGTCATCCTTCTCATTGTTGGGTTAGAGGCTGATTTTGAAGTTTTTAATTTGAACATAAGATTGAACAACACAATCTTGAGGAAATACATCATCAACAAATGGTTATGGTCATGCCAAAAGGTACATACATTAGAAGTGTAGAACAAGGTTGGTGTTGGAGGTTACATGGCATCCGCTCAGTCGACCAGTGCCGATGATATCCGGACACTTTGAAATGGAGATCTGCAGTTTTGGATGAATGAATAATATCTTTATAGCTGCTTTGCAAAAATTGGAGATGTACTAAACTTTCTGAAATACGGTGTTGTTGCTGAGTGTTTTAATATATAAAATTATGTCTTAGGGAGAAGAATAGATCTTTTAAATTGTTGTGGGAATTAGTAAGAGTTTGATGTTGTCATATGCTTTGGATTTATTTTCTACCGAGTGTTATGCAGGTTTATCTGAGGTAAATGAATATTATGCACTGGTGTTTATATGCATCAACTAACTTTATATGATAAACTAAGTATCAGTACCATCCCTCTATATTTTTTTGATTGACAAGTTTGACATAGTTACCAAAATGATTTATCCGCTAAAATCATTTATTTTCCATCATTTTTCTAAATCACAGTCCTTCTTTTGTACTTGAAATTGCACAGTTGAAGTCCAATTAGCATGACTATTCTTGCAGGATTTCCTTGCCAATATGAAGAATGCATGGAGCTTCTCAAAAATATTTCTGCATTCAAAGGTTAAAATAATTTTATGCAAATGTAAACTTCATTGCTTGCGATATGCAAAGTAAAGTAGCTTATAATGCAGTATAGTAGAATTAGGGCCGCTAGAAACTCCAACAATAAAGTAGTGAAAATAACAATATTGGTAAGATAGGAATTTTTGTGAAATTACTTTTATTTAATATTCTCCGCGCATCACGCGGGTAAGTATACTAGTATATATAGAAGTAGAAAAAAGAGTGGGGAGCAAACGAAATGGGCTCTTTTCTTTTTTCGTGAATTTCCTTACTCAGTTATGTCCTATGGACCTATTCATCCTAAATTTGTGTAATTCTGTTTCCATTCTTGACAAAATGAACATAAAAAAACGAATAATTTAGCCTCTTTCAAATTCATAGCACGTTGGCCAAACTTCTAAAATCAGTTTATTTTAAAAATTATTTTTCTCGCAAGTATTTTTCAAAAAAGTATTTTTGGTGATAAATAGTTTGTGTTTGACTAATTAATTTGAAAAACACTTTTGAACAATAATTAGTATTTGACCAAACTTTTAAAAATTTCTTCTAATTGTATTTTTCTCAAAAGTGATTTTCAGAAAAGTGTTTTTCGAAAGAAACGATTTTTTTCTACTTCTCAAAAACTGCTTCTGCTTCTGCTTCTCATCAAAAGTACTTTTTTATTTTTTTTCTTAAAGCCTAGCCAAATACCTCAATTTTTGGAAAACGATACTTTTGGCAAAAATATATATATATTTTACCAAAAAAAAAAAGTTTGGCCCTGTCAACCGATGAACGAGAACCTGTAAATTGCTATTGTTTTCTTTCTTTATTTTGCTTGTTCTGAGAATTGATGCTAAACTGTTTCAGAAAATGTAGTGGCCCAAAACAAGTATATTGCCTTATTACCTCTCTTTCTCAATTTTCAAGAAAGAAGACAAGAAAGTTGTTGCAGATCTGCCTTTTCTTTCAGGTAGAATTACGAGGGGAAAAAAAGGAAAAAATGGAGGATTAAATAAAAAACAAATTTCAATTCATCAACCGGAAAAAACATACAAGGATAATTGTGTTAGAAAAATTTACAGTTGAATGTTTTACTTGCTTAATAAGGGTCCTCCTTTTCCCTTCTATTAAGATGATTCCATAGATTTTTGCAATAAATATTAAATAGTCTACATTTGTAATTACTCGTTTCACTATTGTGTCACATAATTCTTTTTAACTAAAAAATAATACAACACCAGCTTAGTGAAATCTCACAAGTGGAGTCTGAAGAAGGTAGTGTGTACGCAGACCTTACCTCTATTCCGGAGGAGTAGATAGACTGTTTCTGATAGACTCTCGGTACAATAAGATAAAACGAGGCAATGGAGCAGTAACAACAAAGGAATCCAAAAAGACAACACCACCAACGTAATAACCATAAAATAGAAAGACAAGTAATAACACTAAGCAGTAACAATGATACAGTACCACTGACGCGATGGAATAATATGGACACAACAAGAGCCACTAATATCCTAGGACAAAACACTTCCAGACTAGTTTCTTACTACCTTAATGAAGTACCAAGGGCACAACTAGAGCCACTAGCAACCTAAAATAAAACACTATCAAACTAGCCTCCTATCTCCTTACCTACAACCCTAATGCTCGACCTCCATAACTTCTTATCAAGGGTGATGTCCTCGAAAATCTGTTGTCGCACCATGTCCCGCCTGATCATCTTTCCCTAACATTTCTTAGGCCGCCCTCTACCTATCCTCATACTCGTCAAGGCCAGTCGTTCACACCTCCTTACTGGGGCATTCAGGCTTCTCCTCTGCACGTGCCCGAACTATCTAAGCCTAACTTCCCGCATCTTGTCTTCAATGGGAGCCACACCCACCTTCACTTGGATATCTTCATTCTTATCTTATCCATCTAAGTGTGCCCGTACATCCATCTCAGCATCCTCATTTCTGTAACTTTCATCTTCTGGATATGAGAATTCTTAACTGGCCAACACTTTGCACTATACAACATGGCCGACCTAACCACCACTCTATAGAACTTACCTTTAAGTTTTGAGGCACATTCATGTCACACAAGACGCCAGACGTTAGCCTCCATTTCATCCACTTCACCCTTATACGGTGCGTGGCACCCTCGTCAATCTCCCCATTCCCTGGATAACCGACCCCAGATACGTGAAACTCACTTTCTTGGGGATGACTTAAGAGGCAAGCCTCACGTCCATGACCGCTTCTCTCGACGCGCCGTTGAACCTGCACTTCACGTATTTTGTCTTAGTCCTGCTCAACTTGAAACCTTTAGACTCAAGGGCCCGTCTCCAAACTTCCAACCTCTCGTTAATACCGTCTCGCGTCTCATCAATCAGAACTATATCATTAGCGAATAACATACACCACGACACATCCCCTTAAATATGGTGTGTCGGTGCGTCCATCGCCAGAGCAAATAAGAATGGGCTAAGTGCAGATCCTTGGTGTAATCCCATAACAACCGAAAAATGCTCTGAGTCGCCCTTCACTGCCCTAACCCGAGTCTTAGCTCCATCATACATGTCCTTAAAAAAATAATGTAAAGCTTATTTGGCGTAATTGTAACTAATTGAAAACAAATCACAAATATCAAGTGTCGAATTTATTTTTGTGTATATGCAATTTCGTGTTAAATGAAAGTAATAAAATTAATAATAAACATTTGGTATACTTGATAAAGAAATGCCGATAAGAACTTTCTCTCTTAAAATGGTTGAGGTGCTCTTAAAATAAGTTACCAATATATATATATATATATAAACTTAGAAGTATCTTCACATGAAAGAGAAGGAATAGAATGAGATCAAGATGAAGTTGGGGGTTTAGTCTTAAGAAGGTTATTTAGAAGATTACAAAAGGTATTAGGAATAATATAAAGAAAAGGATTTGACCAAAATAAAAGCAATTATAAAATAAAAATCATAAGTTTTAAGTGATGACATTATGATTTTTGGTTAATTCGTACTTACAAAACACTTGCTCATAAGTATTTTATTACTAAACGCATATATGAGTAAAAAAAAGAAAAGAATAGAATGGTCAAATCAACTTTTAAGTTTAACCAAACACTCAATTAAATACAACCCAATTGAGACCGAGAAACTTACTTTTTCTTCTTTGCCGCCTCGACTATTTTAACGCTCGAGGAAAGCACAGAAATGGAGGGAACTGTCAATCAATATTCAATAAGATAAGTATTAGCCCGCCAATAGTACAGCCAAACCCACCAATCCCACTTGCCAATACAACAGCTTTCCTTCTCTCTTCCTTTAACGTCACTTACAAACAAACACACTTTCTACCGAGAAAATAAATATAGAGCAAACAAAAGGCATCAACCCATTTGCTGCGTCACAGCTCACCCTTTTTAATAAAAAATAAACAACCTTACTAATTACTACAATTAATTTAAAAATTACTAATAATTTCTTTTAGTTTCTAATTCGATATTGAGTACTTGCTTTGAGATCCCAACTAATTCAAATATTTTTGACACATAAGACTCATTAAAAAATCTCTATTTCGAGGATTCTAACCCAATTCGTATATTTCCTCCGTTGATTTTGACCCGTCCACTACATTAAAAATATATTTTTATTTTTAATTCCACTTATTCACTATATTAAATCAAGAGAAAGATAATATTTTTTTCTGTTTTATCGTTAATATTAACTACTCATTTCCCAAATTATTTTTCAAGAGTACTTTTGGAAATGCTATCATTATTATCGGTAAAATATAAAATACATATTTTATTTATTATTTTTTAAGTGGCGTAAAAAGTTCAAAGTGAACAATTAAAATTTAAACGGAGGGAGTAGATTATAAATTAAATTTTAATTAATGAATAAACAAAGGCAATTTACGGTGGTTAGCCCAGCCATGCTGTATTAGGCTGAGTGTTGGGTAGCCAAGAATTCTCATACCCAAAAGATGAGAGTGGCATAAACGAGGATGTTGAGATGGATGTGCGGGCACACTAGGCTGAATAAGATCAGGAATGAAGATATTAGGGAGAAGGTAAGCATGACTCTCATGGACGACAAGATACGGGAAGCGATGCTTAGATGGTTCAGGCACGTGTGGAGGAGAAGCATAGATGCCCCGGTTAGGAGGTGTGAATGATTGATTTTGGCAGGTATGAGGAGAGGTAGAGGGCGGCCTAAGAAGTATTGAGGTTAGGTGATCAAACAAGACATGACGCGACTTCAGATTTCCGAGGACATGGCTCTAGATAGGAAGTTGTGGAGGTCGAGCATTAGGGTTGTAGGTTAGGAGGGAGTCGAGCGTTTTTACGTTATTTCCGGGGGCAGGACTAAGGTGATAATGTTTCGCCTTGTGTTGTTAGTGGTTTATGTAGTTTCCACACTATTTTCTATGACATTATTATTGGTTATTGTTATTGCTTTTATATTTATTTTTTGTTTCTTATAATGCTGATATTATTTTATTTTTCCGGCTTATGTTGTTGTCACCGATCTATTGTCTATTGTTTATTTATTTTTTTTTAAGCCGAGAGTCTTTCGAAAATAATTTTTTTACCCATTTGTAGTAGAGGTAAGTTCTACGTACGCTATACACTTCTGAGATCCTACTTGTGAAATTTTAAGGTCTGGTCTACGTACGCTATACACTTCTGAGATCCTACTTGTGAAATTTTAAGGTCTGGTCTACGTACGCTATACATTTCCGAGATCCTACTT